CACACACACCCCCACCCACGGACACCTGAAGCTGACAATGCTGTGGTTTCTGCTGCGGCTGTTGGTGACAGATAAGGAGCAGCTTTTTGTACTCGAAAGACTGAAATCAAGCATCAACCTATCGATTTTTATTACATCTAATACACCAAAGAATAGTTTACCATGATTAGTTGGTTTCGTTGGAAAAAAAAAATGAAAATGGAAGAAAAATAAAATAGCAACTAATTGCTCTTTAAGTGGGAAGCGGAAACAATAAGTTGGATATAAAAAAGGGGGGTTCATTGGGAAATGTTAATTGTCTTTAACATTAGCACAGGCCTTATTAAACGCTCGGTTTAATAAGTTAAAACAGTAGCACGTCAACAACAAGCCTAACCTCAAGTCACTATTTTTCCAGGTTAAACTTAACAGTATACGCTGGATACATTACTGTGGGGATACGTGTCCTGCTTTTGTTCTCAAAGTGGAAGGACGAGAGACAAAAACTCACCTTTTTGAAATAATTTTTGTCTCCGCCGCCGTCGTTGATGCCATTTGATAAAAGAGCGTCCGTCATCCTGAAGGCACGCGCTCCGAGAACCTCAAGAGGAGAAAAAAATGTATTCTTTTTTCTTTTTTAATTAACAGCTTTTAACAACAGGTGAGAACCTCTCTACACCACCAATATGCCTGCTGTTCTAACTTCTCTTCACTCAGTCAGAGATTTTTCCAGTAGGAAACCAGAAGCTCCGCCCACACAAACAGAATGGGTGGTGCTTTCACGGCCCAAAAGAAGCTCAGCGGAAGACACCTGTTTAGTTCAGGCTCTGCGGAGTGCATTATGTGAGACGGCTAGATATAAGATGCTGTTATGCAAGCGTGTAACAGTGAAAAGAAAAACAAGAAAATATATCGGTCTTTTAACTCTTGTATTGCTTTCAAAGTCATATTTATATTCTATTAATACATGTGCTACCCTCATCTAAATTTCCCAGATCTGTCTGACTAAAGGAAATCAAATGTTGAGCTAATACAAAAGTATTACATTAACACATTAAGTATTAAAGTACTGTAACACTGTAAAATACTAGCAGTAGTAGTTCAACATAACAGTCGTTCGTTTTTCAGTTTCTATTTTTATTCTAAGCAAATGGTATGCAGAGTGACAGTTATCTATGTAAAACTATGCAAAATAGTTCCTTCCAATACGGAAATGTGACTTTGGCAACAGATCTGTTGTTCAAAATGTCCTACACACCAACACCAGACAAGGATATAATAATGTGTGAGAAAACACGTAAACAAAAAAACTAACAAAGCTGAACCCCTGCGTACTACAGTGAGGACATCCCATGGTTATGTTATGTTTTGTTGAGCCATATGAGTTATTTATCCTCATAGAGGGAATGATTATTAAAAAATTACAAAGCTGCTGTCATTCATGAGCTTTATTCTAGAATAAAACTTTTTTTTTTCTTTTTTTCTTTTTTCTTTTTTAAACGGAACAGGAGATGATGTGGCTAACAGCCTACTAGGCCACCTGGTGGTGTTGTTTCATTTTATTTTTCCACATGCTGATACAGGCTGTATGTCTTTAAGTCTAAGATGTAATACTTGGAAGAAATCAGTGTCTGACACATATTTCTTTACATCACTATTATCACATGAATGATTGCCACAGTTGTGTCTCTTTCTTTAAGATTCTTCCTTTGAAAGAGAAAAATGTTACCCTTAGGCTTTTCTGTTTTAGAATTCCCGAACTGTATGAATTTGAATATGCAATATAGCGCCATATTATATCACAGCTTTCAAAAGTATATTACTTGAAGTTTATCTGTTTTTTTAAATGCTAAAATAAAATAGTGAATGCAGTTTCCTTTACTGACATGTAGGCTGGCAGAAAGGGGGCACTCAGGGAAACGAGATGATGTGAAATACAAAAACAGACGTTACAATGAGTAGTGTGTGAGTATGTGTGTGTCCTAAAACTCAGTCCCTGTGTTAACTTTAATTTTTGCCTGTCTTGTTTAAAGTTACCTCAGCAGGATTTGTTGTAGTGTTGCTGTCAGTAGCTGTCAGATGGCACATGTATGCAATACTAACAGACGCCAGGGGCTTGTTTTGCCAGTTCTGCATCTGAAACCCAGCCAACAGCTTGAACAGGAACTTTCTATTTATATCTTTTTAACTGCAGACAGATTTTATAGTTAATGGATTTGTATGAATGACAAACCAGACATTTGTATTGACTCCAAGCTGTTGTTACTGTGTATTTGTTATTGTTTGTTTTTGTGTAGTTTACTTTCTCTAAATGCTCTGAAAGAAACCAGCACCCCACAGTTTCTTATGTTGTAAACATTTGTTGTTTCCAGCTTTGTTCATATTTAACAATTCCTTGTTCTGTAATTGTTGTTAGTGGTGATTGTTGTACTTTACAGCCCTGTGATAGATTTGTCCAGAGTACCTATGATAAGTCTGATAGCCTCCAGTCCCACTGTGGCCCTGACCTGGATAAGAGAAAGAGAATGGTTGGATAGAGGGGATGGATGGATGGGAGTCCCTCCCATCCATCCATCCCATCCATTAAAGGGTGGATGGGTCTTGTACCTAAGAATGCAGTCCACTAGATGGAGATATTGTTTTTATTTCATCAACAACTATGCCTATTTTATGCAATAAGTTTTTTTTAATCTTATAGTTTTTCATAGTATTTGTTTATACGCCATGGTGTTTGTTCTGAGTCATGAGGTTATCTCAGTTTACTATATTATCAATACATACATTAGAAAAACTTTGAGTCGGCAAAATGACTTTAAAGTGCTTTTCCAAAGATCTTTTTATTTAGTTATTAATTTTTTTTAAATCTATTTTTATATTTTCTGTCTCATTTTTCTTTATGTTTTGTTTTTCATTTGTTTGTTTGTTGTTGTTGTTGTTGTTGTTGTTTTCAGGCTGTTACTATGACTCTGAAGGAGCACTGCTTCATTTCAAGCAACTATGCAAAAACAGGTGTGGCAGGTGTGACTAACAACAAGGACCTGTAACGGTCATATTTCACTAAACACATATCCAAAGGTTATCATTAACTGTCAAGTGTCTCTTGTTGCAAAGCGAAATGAAAAAGGCAGGGGAAATGTAGCTAAAATATTTTTAAACTACGTAAAGGGGATTTTGACCACCAGAAAATTTCTTGTTTTAATAAGCGAGCTCTGTTTTGTTTCTAAATGATCTCTAAGGGGGTGCAGAGTTATGGGTTTGTAGATGTCAATCCATAATTTTACAGGCTAAATACCAACATCAAATTTGGAGCACATGTGGGGACTTATTGGGGTGTGGTCTTTGTGGGCAGCTCTTTGGGGCCCCTGTAGGAGTTTTTTTTCTTATGGGCAATACTGATGTGAAATGTGGGGCCCATTTGTGCAACCTGGGTGGAGCCCCATCTAGCTGTGGGCTGCCTTGCTGGGGCCCCAGCAAGGCAGCCCACAGCTAGAGTGTCACCATACTGTGCTGCAGGTTCATGGGTCTCACTTTGGGTTTCTGCTTAGTGTGGGCTGCCCACAGTCAGCATACACTATGGGCTGCCCCATTTGAGACTGTGTGGGTTTGTCCACAGTGGCCTCATATGGGCCCCAAAGTATCATGTTTGCAGGGTTGCAACATGAAGCATGTAGAGGAGACTATTGCTGTGCTAGATAATTCTACATGTATTACATAAATAATACTAACTGGAATTATTTTACAAATATGACACTTTTTTACTGCTATAATTATTTACAGTGATATTGATAATAGAAAATACCCTTATTAGCAAAGAAGTGACACTTTTGAGAGTAAGACAAAGTAAATACATAAAAATGTGGCTATCTGCAGTAATTACATTTCTAGTCAGAAATGTTGTCTTCTTAAGTTACATAGTTAGCAGTGTTTGGTGCTGTCTTGCTGACACATTTGTCCACTGTGTCACTAGTTTCTATCAGTATTTCAAGTAAATAGCTTGAGCTGCTTATGTGAGTTGACCCACATAAGCAGCTGAGTTGTATTTGCTTTTGAACCTCTTTAAGCCTTTTGGCTGTAATCACAGAAGTCTGCAAAGTGGGAAAAAAACAGAGCTGCATTTTTCACTCACAACATTTTTTTACTGCTGAAAATGGACAGTCCACGCCTTTACCAGCACTGTCACACAATCTAAATGTATTACATTACATTACTTAGCTCTGAGCACCACCTCTCTGAAAATCTTAATGTCAGCCCTCAGAAATGTATATTATCATATAGAGGGTCCCTTGTTTGATTTAGCTTGCAGTGAACTGAGGGTGCTTTGGCTTTCCGCTCATTTCTCTTCTCCTCACTATGAAGCACAAAGCCGATTGTAAGTCAACTACTTCCCGGCTGCTTTTCTAAAGGCAGAGGGGGTACGGCAGTGAACAACGGGCACCGGCGTTCAACCCCCGGCCCAACAGGAAGTGCTGAGGGGTTGCTATGCAGCCCTGCTCCCCAACTGCAAGAACTCTGGGTTCCCTGTTAACAAATGATCTGTGATTTGGGCAGTATGGCGAACTATTGGAGCAGGCACTCCAGAAGCTCTACAGTAAGAATAGATCAAGGCTTGGATGAAAGAAAGAATGAGGGAGAGTGATAGTTTGTCCTCAGCGCTAAAGTGTTGTTGGGTCTGTGGCCTCTTCTCCTCCCTTTCTCCTCTGGTCCCTCTTGCTCCATCCCTCTTGTTTTGTTTCTCTCCACTTCTCCTCCCTCTCTACCTGTCTCCTCCCTCTGCATCTCTGTCCTTGGTTTATCCTCTTGTAGTTTACTAGCCTTACTATTACATTCAAATCTTGTACAAGAGTTGAGTCAATACATTACAAATATTGACATCCATCCATGCAATATATCACAGGGCTCTGACATGACATGCCAAAACGTAAGTAAAATTAACCTTCCTAAAACATAATATTTAGCTTCAGAATGAATGTTAAAACAGATTCAGGACTTGTTAGAAGAAGGTAAAGTTTCAAAAGTTACACCAAATCAGCTAAAGATCATGAAGCCGGAGGACAACTAAGTACAAAAATTGAAATAAATAAATAAAGCAAAACAAAAATACATGTGTATTATTTTCACTCCCAATGCACTGCACTCTATGTACATATAGAAAGAAATTCTTGGTGTATTTTTACTGTGTATATTAATCATGTGTACATAGTATAGTATTTTGGGTTAGCTGTAGTTTTTCTAATATATCTTTTTCTAATATAATTCCCATTTTCTTCCTGTCCCTTGTGCTGCTGTAACAAGTGAATTTCCCCAGAGTTGGATTAAATAAAGTCTATGTGTGTGTGTCTAAATGTTTGTTTTTGGAATGAACATTTCATTGTAATCCAACTGAAGACAGTTGACAAAAATACAATTTTTTAAAATTAATCCTTTATTTATCCAGGTAAAAATCTCATTTCCAAATGAGACCTGGCATCATGGCAGCAAAAGTCAAAACACATGCAACACATAACAACATAGCAATTAAAAACAAACATAATATTTCATACAAACAAGTGAAAAATATAATTTACATTCAGAGTGGGGACTACCGATTAAAGTAGGTGGTAGGTGGAATGCTATACGCAGTACTTGTACTAGTCTGCCTGCAGGAATGTGACACTGAGGTCATATTAGTCACTACTGAGGAAACTAAAC